CACGGGTTCCCACTTCCAGGCATGGAAGTCTTAGGGTTTCTTGGCGCTTGATGACTTGCTTCCTGCCTCAGACACTCCTTAACGTTTTCCGATGGGATCCTGTAGAGGGGAGAGGGACACCCACCCTGTCACCATGGTTGACTGCTTTAGGCAGATGGAGCAACAGAAACACGAGGTCTGAGAACACAGGGAAGAGGCGTCCTACTGAGCCACAGTGCGTCCTCGGCGTGGGTTTAGCCTCAACCTATGTAGAGGAGCATGGTGGAAGCTGAGGGCGGGAGGACACTTGAAAGGGCCCAAGAAACCAGTGTGTGGAATCCCAGTTATCACCACCACATCCTGCCAAAGTCCTAGAGACCCTCAACATCCTTCCATCACCCCAAGGTTTTGAGGAAGGATTTGTGGCTTCAGTTCCTGTCTTGGTTAGGAAGGGGGCTTCATGTCCCTCTAACCTTACAAAGCTTTGTCCACTCTTCCCCAGCCTCTATCACATCATAAGTGGGGAAGGAAAGAAGAATCCCTCAGCTTCTCTCTCCTTCAGAGGGTAACATTTTCAGGTTCTTGTCTTTGAGTGGACGGATGCCTGGGAAGTTCACAAACCGGCCCTGGCTGTCACTGACTTCTCTATGCCTTCTCAGGCCACTCCTCTGCCTCCCCCACACCCCACACACAGTGTAGTCTTCTGGACAGGGAAGGAGTGGATGAAGGTTGCAGGTATTAGGCAGCCACATGAACGGGGTTGTGGAGTAGGGGTTGGGAGGGGCCCAAGAGGAGGAGGTTGAGTTTCTAGCTAGTTTTAAGGGAAGACCCCAAGCTTCCTTATTTCAGTGTGGCTCTAGAGGCCTGACCCTGAGGTATGGAACTGTCCCTGGGGTGTCTGCCTCCCCTCCTCTTCCTTGCATTCCTCCCAGGGTACTTCTTGGTACCCTGTTCTCTCCAGTGATTAGCTAGTAAAGGGGAAAGGTCCAGGGGGATTTTGAAACTGAGAGGCTGGGAGAAAGACAGCAGTCAACCAAGGGAGCAGGAAGAAGAAGATGGGAGATGGAGGAACATGACAGAGAAGGGAGTCCTAGTGGACGCTGGCAGAATTCAGACAGCAGTGGAGCTGTCAGGGGAAAGTGCTAGGCAGTAGTCTGGAAACTCAGGCTTTGCTTAGAGAAGCTGCTGGCTTTCCCAAGTACAGTTTCCTAAACACTATGAAATAGTGATTCATAGGATTCCTGTGAGATGATAGATGGACAAGTCCTTGGCAAACAGAAAGGTGCTATTATGAAGGGAACTAGCAGAGATGGCAAGGATGCAGGGAGAGTGTGAAGGAAAGAGCAGGCAAGTGTGCACAGAGAAGTACCTCTGAGATCCCTTCCGGCCTTGCCCGCCTTTTCCAGTATGGCTTCCTTTAACCTCTCCACAGCCTTGGCCACCATGGAAAGTTCTCCCCACCTTCCCAAAGATTCTGCCAAAGGAAGGATTACTGAAGAGGTGGTGGGTAGGGTGAAACTAGACTAAGTCTCTGAGTGGTAGGACCCTCTTCCCATCTCAGCAGTACCTCTGGGCCCATCCTCATTTCTTTCTATCTCTTCCTCATCTCCTTCCCTTGGAGAGGGAGTGAGTGTTTCCCAGAAGGATAGGAGCTCTTTGGGTTCTAGTGTCCTTTTTCCTGACTCCATGTGTGACCCTAGATCCAGGCCTCAACTCCAGCATGCTCAGCTTGCTCTCTACCCATTTCCTTTTGTAGATACCAAGGTTTTGCAGTGCTCAAGTTTTGTGTCTGGGGAACTTCTTTCTCATCAGGTTCAGAACTCCCCAGGAAGGACCCTGCTACTTCCTCCAGCCCAGGAGTTTCTTGAGTTGTTCATTTCACTCCCCATCAGGCTGAGGCCCCTGCAGGTGGTATGTGCTTTCTCTGCCTCTCCAGGCCTCAGCTCCACAGGGCAGGGAGAAGCTGGCAGTGAACAGCTGTGAGGCCTTCTCTTCCGCTCCAATCCCTCTCCTCTGCCTGGTGGCTCCAGGAAGTTGCATGTCCATGCAAGGCTGGGGTCTGCCCCAGATCACTTGGATTCTTGCCTCACAGCTGGGCTGGTCAGCTGGCTAGGCTCTCTTCATACCTGGCAGCTTTGTTCTGGGCTCTGGCACATCCCAGTAGGACAGATTAAATTTGACATAGTGTTGTCCCAGAAGGTCACACTCTTTCTCTTCCTCTGTACCAGGTATAAGGACCAGAAGTGGGCAACATCAATGAGACTGTCCAGCTGCCTCACCAGGGCCCAGTGGCATCTCAGAACCAGGCCCTATGATCCCCAGTTGCTGGCATAGATGAGAATGGGGCCGAAGCCAATTTTGCCACCCTCTCCTGCCTGTTCAGTGCTCAAGCACAAGCCAGAGGCCAGGTGTGCAGGGAAGGACCCAGGGGCTCAATGACTATTATTCTAGGCAGGTGCCTCTCTGGCCAATCTCCTGTGATGGGCTGATCCAAAGCTACAGCTCCTGGAATCTTCCTCCCACCAAGTTTTGATGCAGAGTCTCTAATTGGTTGGGGTGCAGGGGTCTCTTCCTGGGGAGGGGAGCCAATGAAGCATTTTCTCTGCTACTTCCCCCATCTCTTCTTGCCTCATCTTCCCTCTGCCTTTCTTGCTGGCCTAGCTATAGAGAAGGAAAGGAGTCAGAGCCAGAGGGAGGCCAGGGGAATTTGGAACATTTATCAGCTTAGGCTGCCTTGGCTCCAGGACCCCTCCTGAGCTGAACTACAGGTAAAGCCCCTTTCCCTGATCCTTTCCTAATCTGAGCATCCTTCTGAGAATTGGGGTTAGGTGTCAAGGTCAGGGGAGCCAGCTCTCTGCAGACCTTAAAGATACAGTCTTGCTTCTTGGGACAAGGGAGAGTCAAAGGAAGCTCCAGGAATGAGCAGCACAGATAGAGGCACAGGCTCTACTGTTCCTTACCCTTCCACCCCCACAACCTATTTCTCAGAACCCAGTGAGCCAAGTCCCAACCTTATTTCAGTGGGCGTGGCTGAGCTGAGTGTGATAGACAGAGTGGCAGGGGAGGGGCTGATAGCAGCTTTGATAGGGATGGGGCCAGGACTGTAGGGCCCAGGCCAGGGTGTGGCCAGGATGGGCTGTCAAAGCTGCAGCCTAAGACTTCCCACACCCTAGCATGGAAAGAAGTTGACATCTCTGAACTTGAAGAGACACAGGTCACCTGAGAAAAGGTGATGAAGGCAGATCCCAGGTTTTTCTGCACTGAATCAAGTTGGGGCTTAGGCTTCAAGTAATCGTGGAGGGGGTGTTCAGTGATCTAGAGGGGAGGGATAAAAGGGCAGAAGGGGTGCTAGAAAGGAAACAGGGAAGTCAGGATAGGGCACAGGGACCAAGGGAGGCAATGGATTCTTTTCTAACGTCTTTGTATGACAACCGTCTCTGTTCCCAGGTCTGCCCCAAGCTGGATGGAGTGCTGTTCAGTAACTCTTATCTTCAGTTCCTATGTGGGCTCTCTTGAGCCTCCCCAAAAGGGCTCTCTTCCATGGAGGTCGTGTGCGTTGACCCCTTGGGGTTTCTTGAGAAGTCTCAGTAGTAGAGGTACACTGTATGGTCTCCTCCTCATCCAACTTGGCCTCATCCCACCAAGGAGTTCTTTTCTTAACTTTGCATCCATCTGGTTTCTCCCTAACTCTACCCACATTTCCACTAGGAGAAAAGACAGATTGCCTAGAGGGCAACAGCCTTTCTGTCCCCCTCCCAGACTCAGGGGAGGTTGGCTGAGTGAACTCTGCAGACTGATGACTGATGCCTGGCACTGCCCTCTCTCCCTCCCTTCTAGTCCTCCTCTGAGGCTTTTTCTCATCCTCCGTTCTTCCAGTTCCATTCTCATTAATTCATATGCCTTGGCTTCCCTGGCAATTAGACTCTGGTGTCAGGGGCTAGGAGACAGGTGGAGAGAGAGGAGTTGGTTTGCAGCCCAGCAGAAGCACCCCCACCACAAGGGAGGGGAGGTGGTGGGAGTAGCTCAACACTCCTCCCACCTCTCACCGCCAAACCACACACGTTCAATAAAATGCACAATAAGAAAGAGATTAAGGGTATTCATAAGAGGGGCTTTATTGCGCTGTTCAGTAGTGTTCTGAGTTCTCCCTCCTGACTCCAGATCTCCAGTCACCCATCCCCAGCTCAGCCCTAGAAGAGACCACCTTTTGCCCCAAGGGAAGGACTCAGAACTAACTGTCGGTGTGCAAAGGAGAGGGCAGGAAGATGGGGTGTCTCTGGGAAAGGAAATAGAGGGCCCAGAGCCAGAGGGTCCCAAATAGAGTGGTAAAGGGAGAGGCACCTGGAAATGAGAGTCAAGAAGCAAGGAGGAGATTCTCAGTAGAGGCCGAGGGAACAGAGAAGAGGAGCCTACAGGGCCCTTCTCAATCTGGCTGTACCCTAGATTTTCTGACCTCACTTCTAGCTTGGTCCCAGCACTCCATCCCTCTCTGTACCATCACTCCTAGCCCCAAGGTAGGTCTTGCTGTTGTCCAGATGTTTCACATCTTCCTTGCCTTTGTACACAGTCTTCCACCCCTCTCTCTTTTCTGCACAAAATCCTCACTTTTTAAGTGTCATGCAGTTCATGCATCTCTACAGTGAGGCCTCCGAGGTCACCCTCTTACCCTCAGCCAGGCCCAGGCTCCCTCCTCTGCCCCCACAGCTGCCAGCTTCTTTTTCTGAGTCCACACACAAGCCACTTGAAGTCATTCTTCATTTTGTCATCCCCCACCACAACAATGGACTCTGAGCTTTGGGTTCTGAGTCTAGCACAATCCAGGTACAGAGGAGGCACCCAAAATCAAGGTAACAAAGATGGTGTTGAGAGAGAGAGAAAGAGAGAGAGAGTGAGGTGAGGAATTTCGGGAGGAGAGGGGTGGCATGAAATAGGGGATAGGGGCAGGGAGGGGCAGCAAAGAGGCAGAGGGGCCAAAGGAAAGGTGTGGGCATAGGGCTAGGTGTGTTGGGTGCCTTTGGTCATCAGACAACTGTGCTGAGGATAGAGGAGTCCTCCGAGCGCACAGGCAACACAGGGACCCGCTTGAGGGGGCGTCGGGTCTCATCCTGGTTCTGCCACATGTAGTGGATCAGATAAGCCACCACCAGCATTAGCCAGCCCCCCATAGTGACCAGCAAAGCCACATCAGTGCTCCGCCGGGCCCCTCCCCGCCCTGTCCCACACAGCTCTTCCTCCTTGGCCAGCAGCAGGAACTCCTGCCCCACGAGGTCTGGTTGGGCTCCTGGACCACACACAATGCCTGTTCCAGTGCCTGGCGCCAGCCTCACCTGCCTGATCACTTCCTGGAGGGCACAATCACAGCTCCATGGGTTGGCAGACAGGTTCACTTGGATCTGCAGCCCCACGAAGGCTTCCACGGGCACTGAGGCTAGCTGGTTAGCAGAGAGGTCAAGATGGCGCAGAGTGCCTGCCAGGCCCTGGAAAGCAGCCTCTGAGAGGTAGGCAAGAGCATTATGGGACAGATCTAGTTCCTCCAGGACAGGCAGGTGCTGGAAGGCACCAGCAGGCACTGATGCCAGCTGGTTGGCATCCAGGTAGAGCTTTCGGGTGTTGTTAGGGATGCCAGTGGGCACAGTACTCAGGCCTGCCTGGCTACAGCGGAAGGTCCGCTCACCAGCTTCTTCAGCCACATAGCAGCTCTGGGGAGGTGACTGGGGGCTGGGCACGGAGTCCCCTATGCCTATTATCAGCAGGAGGGGCAGGAGGCAAGCAGCTGGTGGGAGCATGGCCACAGATTGGCATAGTCCTGGAGTGGAGTAGGATCTGGGGAAGAGAAGATCACATGAAGGAGGAGCAAAGAGACTCCATTCCCCACTGCCAGCTCTCATCTTTTGGTTCCTCTGTGTAGTCTCTTTGACCAGGACCCCTCCTTTGGGGCTCTCTCAGGTCTGGGTCACTTTCTTACTTCCTCCTTGAATGTCTCTCTTGATCTAGGACGTCTCAACAGGGTCCCTTGGACTTAAGACTTTTAGGATCTATCAATTCTAGAAAGTAAACCTATAGGGTCTCTTGTTCCAAGGCTCTGTTGGGGTTCCTTGGGTCTGGAGTTTCTAAGCTTCTGCCTTTGCCCCTGTATTGATTTCCCTCCTTGGAATTAAAGATTCACTCCCCCCACCTACCTGGGTGGCTGCCAGGCAGCCCAGGTAGGCACCAGAGGGTCTAGTTGGCACTTGTGTGAAGGAGACAAGAAGGCAAATCAGCGACAGGACTCCTAGGCTAAATGACTAGGTAAGATATATCTCTGGTCCCACTTTCTATGTCCATCAAATTCCCTTCAAGGGCATCCACCCCTCTGCCTGCCCCAGTTTTGTACTCCCTGCCTCATTCATCCTCCCTCCTCCTCTCCCTTCTCCCTGCCTCTCACCCCAGTTGATGGCAGAGTCCTCAGTTGTACTGCTGCCCTTTCCCCGGAAGTAGCCTGCCAGGAGCTCGGCTCTGGAGACCTGCTTCTTCCTCCAGAAGCCCTGTTTTCTCATGGCAGCTGGAAGCTGGGACCTGGGGCCCAAGTGTATTGAGTTTCCTGGCATGTGACTCTGGGCCCCAGGTGTCAGATACCTGAGCCATGGCCTGGCCAGACAATGCCAAGAGAGAGCAGATCCCAGACCCTGATGAACTCTGTGTGGGAGACCAGGCCCCAATTAAGTTCCTTGCCTTGGGATACCCTTCCAAGGCCCTGTCATTACCATCTTTCATGACTGTTCTTCTAGCTCTGAGACTGCCTCCCAGAACTTCTCTTCCTTGACCACAGTCTGGCTGGGCAGAAGGAACGCTGCTTGGCTGGCCTAGGGGACAGAACTGGGTACGGTCCATCTAACATCCATTGCCTCCAGCAACCTGTATCCCCCTCAATGCCATCCCTCCTCCTACCTTCCTGTCTTCCTTACATGCCCTGGGGCATCTTCTTCCATGGTGTGCATACTTCCCTCAGCCTTTTCCTTGGAAACCTCTTTCCAGGACATTACCTGGCTCCTCACAGTGCCAACCTTCTTGCCTGCCAGGGGGCGCTGTAGTTCAATTTTAGTTTGCTGTGGTCAGTTGATGGTCTCCCTTGGAATTGGAGAGGGTTCACGAAGGCTCCTAAAGTCTGATACAATGACCTATGAGTTTTCCTGACAACTCTATGTCCTGGACTGGAACTGACTCAGGTTTTTCTCAGTATGCTGGGCTCCTGGGCTCTCAAGATGGCACTTTGACCTCTTCCTCATGCCTGAGAACTGAAGAGGGCTCAGGCAACTTATTTACCCAGGTCTTTTGGTCCCACCATAATTTGCAGCCCATGCTACTCCTTCACTCAGCCGTCTCCTAATGTCCAGGTGGGAAGGAAGGATCTGAAGCTAGAAGATGTGTTTTGTGTGTGCTTTGGGCCATCATTTCACCCTCCCTGGCCAGCCCTCATGTCTACCTTTGCAAGTGAGATACTGCTGCAGGGTTGAGTGGACATGAAAGAGCTCTGCAAGGAGCTGTACCAATCCTAGTTGTCATGATCACTGTCTTCCAGAACACACTATGGCTTTCCTTCATGATTTTAGCACCCAAGGCAGGTTTTCTTTCTCGATCTTGTATTCTATGCCTGTCTACCTTGTCTCCTATACCCTGTAGGTTCAGGGTTGACAAGGGGTTGTAGTGATGAATATGTATTAGAAAAACCCAGCCGGGTGCTGGTGGCTTACACCTGTAATCCTAGCTAATCAGGAGGCAGAGATCAGGAGGATTGAGGTTTAAAGACAGCCCAGGCAAATAGTTCACGAGACCCTATCTCGAAAAAAAAAAAATCACAAAAAAGGGCTGGTGGGGTGGCTCAAGGTGTAGGCCCTGAGTTCAAACCCCAGTACCACCAAAAATAAAAAAGAAAGAAAAAGAAAAAGAAATCACATCTAATACATTAACTCATAGTGGCTTTTCCTTTATAACTCCCTTGGTTCTCAGGTCCAGCCATATCAGTTGGCTGCCTTGCCATGCCATAGCCTCACCTCATGTAGCACCAACCTTCTTACATCATCTCCAACTTAATGCTAGGTTTAGCGTCTCAATGATTCATAGAGCTCAAAGGAAGTGACCCTCTTAGATTGCAGATAGGTAAACTGAGGTCCAGAATGCAACTAGAGGTTCACAATGAGTCAGTAGCCCAATAGACCACAGCCCAGGTGCCTAATTCCTTCCCAACCACATGCACACTTGCCAATGCCCTGTGTCCTTTTTTTTTTTTTTTTGACCACCTGATCTTATCATATGAAACCCTGGCTCACTCCCATTAGGTCTGAGAGGTAGAAGAGAACAGGATAGCAGGGTGTCACAGACTAGAGAGGAGACCTGCACAAAGGAGGATGAGGTCAGACCTGTGCTAACCAACTTCTTTCTTTCCTTCCTCCCTCCCTTCCTCCCTCTTTCTCTTCCTTCCTTCCTTCCTTCCTTTTTTTTTTGAGACAGGGTCTGGCTATGTAGCTCAGGCTAGTCTTGAACTCATGTCCATCCTGCCTCAGCCTCCCAAGTACTGGGAATGTATAGACCTTTCTGAGGTGGAAAACCTTGCTGGATTTTGTTTTGTTGAGAAAGGATTTCACTCTCTAGCCCAGGCTGGCCTCACACTCACTATGTACTTAGGCTGGTCTTGAACTTGAGATCCTCTTGCCTCAGCCTCTAGACCTTGCTGGATTTTTTAAGAGATTGTGGTTAACCAGGACCAAACACATAATTTTAGGGCCTCATGCAAAATGAAAATGTGGGGCCCTTTGTCCAAAAACTGTTAAGAATTTCACTGGGGGAATGGCTTAATTGGTAGAGTACTCACCTAACAAGTTCAAGGCCTTGAGTTCAATTCCCAGTACAAACAAACAAGCACTGTTAAGACTTTCAAAACAGCAAAAGCAGAGTTTAAAATCAAATGAGGTCCTTCTAAGCACTGTTGTGGGGCTTCATGGGATGGCATAGGTCGCATGTCCATGAAGCTGACCCTGTGGGTTACCTTTGAACAAGCCGTTTCAGAAGCTTGATTGGGCCTAGAGCCAGATGGTAAGATACTGCGTGTTATCACCTCTGGGAATGTACTCATCCCTGACTCATTCATGTGACATCAACAGGGACATTTCTCAGACTCACATTTGTCCAAGGAATCAGATAAAATACATTTTCTGCACTTGGGTGAGAGAAGTAAAAATGTTCTCCATGGGTTGTTAGTAACGCCAGGCACTGTACCACTGATGCTTGCATGTACACTTTGGGACTGTGACTGAATGTGGGATAGAAGGCCTGTGGAAACCTTCTCCTCTTGGTGTTCTTCTCTCACATCGGCAGAAGGTTTGGCTAAGGCCCAAGAATTGAACCTGACTTTTGGTGGAGAGTTATCTCCTTCTCAGACTAGGGCAGCTACCAGGCAAGAGTGGGACTGGGTTATCCCACTTAGCAGCTGTAAGAGAGGCAGGTGATTGTGCACATGGGAGAGGCCTCATAGAGCTGTAGGGGAGGTTAATTAAGGGGGGCTAAGAGCAGGGCTCAAGAAATGGAAGATCTGAATGTAGGGAGGAACCACAGTTAAGACAGTGCACACCATAGGCTGGGGACTGACAGAAATTCTTCTCTGCCATTCATTTGTCTTTTTTGGCAGTATTGGGGTTTGAACTTAGGCCCTTCATCTGCCATTCATTCTTTTCCTCCCTCATTCAGTATGGTGTTCCTGCCACCAAATGTCCCAAGTACTAAGCTAGTTGAAGGGGCCATAGACATTGTTCTTAGGGTGCTGGGTCTGTAGCAGAAGTTCTCAAAATAGCCTATGTATTAGAATCACTTGGGGTACTTTAAAAATTATTTATGCTGGGGATTCATCTGGATCAATTAAAAATATTTTTTTTTTTGGCAGTACAGGGGTTTGAACTCAGGGCCTGCTATTGACTAGGCATGGGCTGTACAATTGAAGCCATCCCCTCTCCCCCAAAGTCCTTTTTGCTGTAGTTATTTTTCAGGTAGGGTCTTGCATTTTTGCCAGGGCAGGCTTGGATTGCAATCATCCTACATACACCTCTTGAGCAGCTGGAATGACAGGTGAATGTCACTATGCCCAACTTATTGGTTGAGATGGGTGTCTCACTAGCTTCTTCGCCCCAGCTAGCCCACAATGGTGATCCTCCTAGTCTCCATCTCCTGAGTAACTGGGATTGCAGGCATGAGTCACCATGCCCAGCCCTGACCCAATTAAATTAAAATCTCCATGGATATAGGGCCTGGGCACTAATCTCTTTCCAAATTTCCTCAGGTATGTTTAATGTGAAGCCTGAGTTGAGATCTGTCAGTCTAGGAGACATGGAGATGTTGACACACATCTCCACCATGTATCAATGCCATGTCTTCCATAACTGACTTGTGCACAGAAAGCTCTGAGGCACACAGAGAGAATATGTGGCAAACCTGTTGCCTGCTCACTTGTTTTCTATTCTGTAATACCTTCTGGGGTAACATATATGAATCTGGGATTCCTTGATGATGGAGCCTGACTGGTCCCTTAGATATTAGAAATCCTGCTGTCTACTTTTCCCATGCTGGCAGCTGAAGGTGGTCCAATTCTGGTCCAATGCATTTAAGAAGGAGTTGGCTAGAGGTTTTTCTGGGACAGTCTTTGACTTACAAGAGAGGATGGGCTGACCCTTCTCTTCCTACTTTTTCCTTGCTTTAAACAAGGAGGGTCAATTTTAGCCATCTGGTGACCAGCAAGAAAACAGAAAGGAAAAGTCAAGAATATCACTGCGTTCCCTGGGCTACTCAAACAACACCTGCATCTGTCTCTCTCATTATGTGAGAAAGATATGTCCTTCCTTCAACTTGGCTGCACCCACAAATTGCCTGGCTCCACCTTCAGGGATTCTGATGCTTAGATCTGGCATGTATTCCGTGATGGGGTTTTTTAAATCTCTTTGGATGATTCTAATGGCAGCCTAGGATAAATTTAATTGTTTTACTTGGGTTTTCTGTTACTCTTAGTTGAGAGCATTGTTCACAGGGACACTAGCTTTCCTGGAGTATCAGGGGAGACTCCATCAAGGAGTGACCTTCAAGGCTGGGCTCATCAGGTAGAGAAGCAGAGTGTGCAGAGCAAGGGAGCATACAATGGCTTGGTTTCTAGGCCATAGAGTGGATGGAGGGGCTGATGGAAAAGGCTATTATTAAAGAAGGTGAAAGTGATCAGATCCTTGTGAGAATTAGGACTTGAGTGGGCTGGGGATGTGGCTTGGGGTAGAGTGCTGGCCTAGCATAGGTGAGTTTCTGGATTCAATCCCCAATGCAGAGGTGGAAAAAAAAATTGGAACTTGGTTCAGTGACTGATGGATTAAAGGGTTTCAAGTAAGATTTGACATTCCGGATCACTTTGCTGGTTGAATGAAGGATGTATTGACAGAAAAGCAGTTACTGAAATAGTAACAAAAAAATGAGACAAAAGGGCCTGAGTGGAAGTCAAGGTACAGGATGGGGGGGGAGCCATGAGTGGGACATTCCATACTTTTCTGTGGCCTGTGGTGTGCATGGAAACATGGGCAGGCCCAAGACTACCAGATATCTGTGCCACTGGACACATATCCTTCCTCAATCCCCTTGGGCCTCTGGTTCTCTGGAACTCATAGTCTCTGAGCCCCTTGTAAGCCTGATACTCAATATGTCCATATGGTGGAGAGGGGCGTCCTAAGTTCAGGGCCCAGGAAAGTAGTTCTTTCAGGCTGCCACCCCCACAGGCTGAGTCCCAGCTCCTCTTTCCTGGGTGGTAGCTCCATATCCCAAAGACGTGACATTAGGGAAAAGAAGTTCAGAAGGCCTCTAGGTCCCTCCCTTCCTAATGTCAGACACTCCCAGATCCATCCTGGATAATGGGTAATTGAAAAGAAAGGAAGAGGACCAGCTGCTTTACCTAACATGATCAGCCAGAGACCCATCTAATGTCAGTCAGGGGAGACGGGCAGCAAAGCTCTGCTATTCTCATTCCTTGTGGAAAAGGGCAAAGAGTGTATATACCTCAAGCTTCCATCCTCGAACATACTTTCTTGTTTGTTCAACACACATCTGAGCACCTGCCATGAAACAGGGCCTCCCAGGCATTGGGATGCAGAGATAATTAGATATCCCCCAGACCATGGGGAGGACTGGTGTGCACACAAATATGGCCTCCTGATATCTTAGGGGTGGGCTATAACTGAAGTGTCTGGAGGTGGCCCAGGAGCCCAGGAGATGAAGCAGTGGGCTCTGCCTAGGCATTGGGGAAGGCCTCACAGAGATGATAACAGCTGAGCTAGGCTTTGAGGGATGGTATGTTCAGTAACATACATCAGCTAACATTTGTTGAGGATCTGCTGTGTACAGGGAATGCAAATGTGAGTAAAATGCAGAGCAAACAGCCTCGCAGGGGGAAGTCGATCTGAACGTTTACACATGAAGCCCTTTGCCCTGTGTCTGGAACACTGCACACATTGAACGACGAAGTTCACTGGGACTGTTCCTGCAAGAGGAGCTGGCCTTGGCCAGGGGAAGAAGGTAGTTGGGGGCAGTGGTCACCTAGCATTTCCAAATACATGAGGCCCCTACTGGCAGCAGGAACTTAATTGAAAGGGTGTATGGGGTCTTGTCTTGAAGCTACTGATTTTAGATCTATTGCCCTCTTGCTGTATAATTATTTCCGGTTTTCTAACTACGTTTATTCTTGGGAGAGGGTGCCAATCACCCGTGTTAAGGAATATGCAGCGTGACAGGTTCTTAAATTACCTTCAGGCCCTTGGTTCCCAGGGAGAGGAGGTTCTGGTTCCCAGGTGTTGGCTGGGGGCCCAGAGGCCCTGGCCAGGCCAGTCCTTTCTCTACACAGCCCTACAGAGCCAACCTCGGAGCTGGATGAGAGAGGCAGGGCAGACTGACCACTGGCAATGCCGCCCATCTCTGCACCTCTTCTGGCCACCCCTCCTTACTTCATGGTTCTCAGGACCACTTGCTCAATGCTCCTTTGTCTCCTTGGTGTCCCCCATGCCTCCCAGGCCTGGGGTGCCCCTACCCCTCCAAAACACAAACAAAACTGTCAAGGAAGCAAATAGCTCTTCCCCTTCCTTGTACTCGATTTGGGCTGACCTCAACACCTCCCTGCAGGATGCAGGGGTGAGAAGGAGAGCAGGGAGTAGTGCGGGGGTGGTATTCTCTGCCCCAGGAGTTAGGGCAAGGGGCTTAGGTTCTTGATGTCTCTGCAGTCTTTCAGAGAATGTGTTCTCTGGCTACCATCCTGCCTGTGTGCGCCATCTTGGCCATGGGTGTGTGTGTGTGTGTGTGTGTGTGTGTGTGTGTGTGTGACAAGCTGAGGCCCCACTACCCTCACACCCCAGATGGAAACACCCCAAGGCTGGGGAATGTGTCTATCTCAGCAGACTGAGCTGCTCCTAAAGCACAGGGAAAGCCTGGGACTCTATTTAAAAACACATTTCATAAAATATTTAAAACTAATATTATGTTACACAGTTTGAAACTAGAGAATGAAAAATGTTGCCCTGAATCCATTCATCCTAATGTAAGGTCTGTTTTTGTTTTGTTGAAATTTCCATAGCCTAATAGAGGCTCCCATATCATTCAAATGTGGGATGAATTAATAAAAGTATCAAGCACTTAACTATGTGCCAGGAATTGTTCCAAGCATTTCACATTTATTGACCCATTTTATCTTCACAAATGAGGTGGGTATAATCACCATATCCATTTAGAGATGAGGTAATTAAAGCACAGAGAGGTTCAGTGACTTGCCTAAGGTCATACAGCTGGTAATTAGAGGAGTCAGGAGTTGAACTTTGTGCCAGGATCTTACCAGCACTACTCTAGTTTTGTTTATCTTAATCATGAATGCATATGCAGGTTTTAGAAAATCCTTTGTTGTAAACAATTCAAACATTGAAAAATACAGAAAATAATATAAGAAATCCGATGGCTCCCATCACCCAACTTCAATAATTACCACCTTGTGACTCACATGTTTATTTCCCCAAGTCCCCAGTCTGGACTATTTTGGAGCAAATCCAGTTATTGCATCATTTTATCTACAAAGTTTAGTAAATATCTCTGAAAGATCAGACTTTTTTTTTTTTTTTTTTACTTAAAAACAAACAAGCAAAACCACCAGGTGCCAGTGGTTCACACCTGAAATCCTCGCTTCTCAGGAGGCAGGGATCAGGAGGATCTCTGTTCAAGGCGAGCCTGGGCAAATAATTTGAGAGACCCTATCTCAAAATTACCTAGCACAAAAAAAGGACTGGTAGAGTGGCTCAAATAGTAAAGCACCTGCCCAGCAAGTGTGAGACACTGAGTTCAAACTCCAGTACTGCCAAACAACAACAACAAAACCTTACTGTAAAAGCCAGGTGTAGTGGTACATGCCTATATACCCAGCTACTTGGGAGCTAGGGAAGGAGGATCATGAGTTTGAGGCCAGTCTGGGCAAAGGTAGTAAGACCCTGCCTCAAAAAAACAAACTGAATGGTAGAGCATTTGCTTAGCAGTGTAAGGCCTTGAGTTCAATCCTCAGTACTGAAAAAAAACAAAAAAAACAAAGGCCCAGGGGCATAGTTTAAGTGATAAGAGTGCCTTCCTGGCATGGGTAGGGGAAAGCCCTGGGTTTAATTCCCAGGACTACAAAATAAAACCACTCCACTCCCCAACTCCCAAAAAAAAAAAAAAAAAAAAAAACTCTTACTGTAATACCATATCATGCTCTAGAACGTATAATTTTTTTTTTTTTTTGGTAGTAGTGGGTTTTGATCTCAGGGCCTCAGCCTTAGCCAGATAGACACTCTACCACCTGAGGCACTCTGCCAGCTCTGTTTTTTGTGTTGGGTAATTTTTTAATGCAGTACTGAGGTTTTGAATTCAGGGCTTCATGCTTTTAGGCGGGTGCTTAACCACTTGAACCACTCTGATAGTCCTGTTTTTGTGTTGGGTTTTTTTGAGATAAGGCCAGCCTGGGCTGGCTTCAAACTGAGATTTTCCTGATCTCTGCCTCCTGAGTAGCTAGGATTACAGGCATGAGTCACCAGTGCCTGGCTTGTATAATTCTTTAATATCATCAAATACCTAGTCAGTATTCAAATTTCTCTGATAATTTAAGAAAATCTTATTTTTAAGTTGGTTTGCTTGAATCAGGATCCAAATAAGGCTTTTGGGTGATACATTAATTTATTTTAATCTATAAATCTTTCCTCTCCTTTTTATTTTCCTTCCAGTTTTAAGATAGTCAGGTGTGTTTGCTTCCCTCCTCCTCCACCTTCTTATTCTTCTCCTTCTTCTTTTTTCAGTACTGGGTTTGAACTTAGGCCTCACACTTACTAGGTAGGTATTCTAGTACTTGAGCCACTCCACCAGTCCCTTTTTGTTTTGAGTATTTTTGAGATACAGTCTCTCTAACTATTTGCCTGGGCTGGCCTCAAACTTCAATTCTCTTGACCTCTACCCCCTGCGTGGTTAGGATTACAGGCTGAGCCATGGCTTCTGGCCTGATTTTGTTGTTTTTGGAAACAGTGTCTGGATATATAGCCTAGGCTGGCCTTGCACTTGTGATCCCCCTGCCTCTACTTCCCAGAGTGCTAGGATTACAGCCATGTGCCTCCATGCCCAGTTGTTTCTTTATTCTAGATTTTTCTGACTTCATCCCTGAGGAATACTTATGCTAGTCTGTATCCTTATCGTTTCATATAAGCTGGCAAACATTTTCCCATGCTGCCACACAGTTTTCACAAATACTAAATGGCTTGGTAGTATCCCATCCAATGGATAGATCATAACTTTTTTTTTGAGCATTTAGGCTGCTTTTAGTTTTCTACTACTATAAATATTGCGGGAATAGACATCCTTACACATTATGGCTTTTCCTATACATGGGGTGGCTTCTTTAAAATGCCCTACCAGAAGTATAATTATGGCTCCTAGACATGAATGATTTTTCAGCTTCTTGACACATAGTGCCAATTGTTTGTCCAACTGTATGTTCTCTGATACCATGTAAGTGTGCTGTCATCCATCCTGAATGGTGTGCAGGCCTATTCAAAGCTAAAAGGTGTTTGGTGAAGACAGGGTAATTATGAGGGCAAAGAGTTAAGAGAAAGATGACAGGCACTCCAGCTAAATAAACCAGAACGTGATCCACAATTCACTACAAGCCCAGAGTGAGTCAGAACTCTGTTCATTCCCACTGTAAAAAAAAAAACCCAAATTGATAATAGAAGTTATTAATAGGCCATGACATGTCCAGTGACCTTTCCATTAGACTCTGCTCCTAGTCAGAGCCTTGATGAAACATGGACCCTGTCTGGTCTCTGAGCTTCAAAGAACTGGCAAAGATCCAGAGTTCTACCAGCTTGATCAAGGATGGAAGAATCCCAGAGAAAAGTCAAAGGAGTCAAGCCAGGCTCACTTTGGAAAAAAGAGACACCGTTCTTGCCTCAATGCTGGGCAGGTTTCTATGAGGACAGCACTCAGCTGCTTGCTTCTGTCTGAAGAAGGCTGACTACAAGGGACATCCAACAATTAGGAGACACTTCTAGGGGACTAAAAGGATCCTCTTTCAGGATCTGAGATGATTATTTATATCTTAAGATGAGCACTCTTGGGCCACTGTCCCTGGAAATATTGGAGAAGCTTCCTGTTCTGAGGCTCTGGGTGGCACAGATACTCACCTGCCTGGTGTTCACTAGGTGCCTCCAGGGTCCCACTCTAGCTTTATGACAATTGTTTCCTGACAACTCCAAGGACAGGTAGGTGGTCTGAGGGAAGTGCTTCCTAGGTTGTCTGGGCCAGTCTGAAAATTTGAACAGTTCAAGGTGCATTCACAGCTAGCCAGGTTGGCATCCACGACATCATCTGATCCTGCTATTCCAGTCCTGTCATACATAGCATGGACTTAGGTGAGTGGGGAAGTGGACACTAAGGGGGAGGCCCTCTTGTTGACATGGAGAGCCGGAGTGACTTAGGAGACCTAAAAAGCTTTAATTCAGCAGCTCCCTGCTGCACAATAGATGCTTCTCATACATTCTTTTGAATTCTCACAACAACCTTGGAGTAGGGTTTCACAGGTGTGGAATTGGGATTAAGGAGAGTTAAGTAATGTGCCCAGGGTCACAAAGGAGTGCCTACACTGTGTCTACCTGGCAGTAAAATCTCTGTTCTTGCCTTTAGAGCACGCAGATGCGAAAACTGCAGACCAGCGCCACCCACCTAAAGCCACGCACACTGCCCTGAGACAGAAACTCAGGCTCCCAACTATTCATCAAGGAATTGTTCCAGGACATGTAGACATGTTCTGACGTCTGATGTGGGGAGACCCAGGATGCAGCCGGACCCAGAACAGCTTGGAACAGGTGTAACTGACAAGTAGGCAGGATCTGGACCAATGTTGCCCACAGGCTCTCTTCTTTGCTCTATAGACCCTCGTCTCACACATCGTCCTGAAAATACGATCCCGGCAGGGTCCAGCAGGACAAAGGGCCGGAAAAGGTTGTTTCAGGAGGGGCCAATTCGGGGTTAGAGCGGAGGCAGCGAGGTGTAGTGGGAAAACTCCTGAACTTGGGGGTCAGAAAATCCCAGCAGAAGTCTACTGTAAGTTACTTAAAAGTCAGTGTTTCCTCGTCTGCAAAACCCAGACAACTGCAAACCACACTTGAAGGGCGAGGACGCAAAAGCTGGAATTGTTACGCACCAAAGTGATACCATCTGACCTACTGTCGCGTCACAGGGAAACGTTCCGCAGTGAGGCCACAGCGAGGTTAGCACCGAAGCCGGAGCACGAGCGTGGGGAAAAACATACAACTTCCAAGAGGTGCAGGGCAGGCAGGGTCGGATGCAGCGGAGAAACTACAACTCCCGGAAGGCGCCGCGCGGAAGGCGCGTGGCGGTGACGTCACGGGGCGGGCGCGGGGCGCTGATTCGGCCGGAGCTGCCAGCGGGGTGGCTGCCGCCGCTGGTTGTTACCGCGGCTGGAGCAGCCGCTGCTCCTGTGCCCGGGCACCCTTCTCGGGTCCTCGACCTTCGACCCCTCGCGGTGAGTCTAGACAGGGAGCCTCGTAGTGCGGGAACCAAGAGGCTCCGGGTCTTGAAGAGAGGCGGGAGAGAAGGTGGGGATTTCTGGGGAGGCGTCCGGGTTGGGGGAGACCTATGCTGGGTGAGTGGAGAGGGGTGCATCAGCCGAAGAAGTGTACAAAGGGGAAAGTGGGAGCCAGAGGCCGGGGGTGGGACGTCTGGGAGGAGCGCTTTGGCTGGGGGCGGGGAGAGGCTGGACTTAAAAAGGTTTGGCTGCCTCCGGAGCTGGGTGAACGCGTGGAGATGGGGGTTGGGCCCCGGATCTGGTTTGCGAGGTACCAGGTTTAGGAGCAGAGCAGGAGGCCCCCCGGCCGGATATACTATCAAAATCTCAACCACAGCGAGGACTCCGCCTCCTCGCTCTTCCCTGGCCCGGAGCTAGTGAGGGTTCGTTTTCTTTTCACTCTCACCGCCTCAAATCTGGGGGGCCGTGCCTGAAAAGGAGAGGTGAGCAACTGTGGTCCTGCAGGTTGTGCGGTGGACGGAATGTAAGGGACATTGTGGCGTGCTACCACGGACTTCACATTGGGGTCCCTCGGGAATGGGCCTGGATGTTTGTGCTCATCACCCAGAAGGCATGAGATTTGCAGTTTAAAGGACTGCTCTTAACCTCTTAACCTGGGAGGGGGAATGGGAAGCGCTCACCTGGTAAGCTACCTTGAGGCACACTGTGGCCTTGGCCTGAGTGTCTGACAGACTTGCCTGGCTGAGATATTTGTGTGTGGAGTCCAGCGGAAAGGGAGGGAAAGAGCTGCCAGCAAAGAAGTGGTTAACAGAACAGAGTTGTTGCAGGCTCTGGTTTGAAACAGGTTATGAAACCACATCAGGACCTGGTGCTGGCAGCCATCTGCCAGCTATGGCCGCAAAACTTTTCAATTTCAGCTGCTGGGGACCTGTCTGCCACTGCCAGCCTCTTCTCCCTATTTCTCCACTTCTGAGAGAAGAGTCAGTTGATTACTAATGGAAGTGACATGCATGCATAGTCCCGCAAAAGTCTCAGGAGTACTTTCTCACTCCCAGTCATTTTCTTAGTTTATTGATCTCTTGTCTTTTTGGGTGGTCTCTAGGGGTTTTCCTGCTCTTAAGCCTCAGGAAGCGCTTCCTAGGGTGAAGATAGAACCTAGGTCTAAGCCCCTCCTAGAATGATCAAGTTTTTTTGGATCATTGGATGCCCTGCTACAGCCAGAAATGGGCATAGGGTATTGTGATTTGGGATTCAGCTTGGCTTTTGACTGAATCTCCTGAACAAAAGTGGTAGGGAAGGCTAGAAGTCTTCCTATACTCACGCTCTTATAGGCTGGCTACTGTTAAGGGAGGGGCAGCAGTTTCTGGTGAGACTTGGGGAGCTCTTTCCAATCTCCTTAGTGGTTTTTCAGAGCCCTCACATCTCAGCCAGAGACAGCCCTTCCCCCCTCCTCCATCCCAGGTTGAGGTTTTTGTGATTATCCCAGGGGCTGTTAGGGTAGCTGAAGCCCCAAGGCCCTGAGAGGTAAACAACTGATTTTCTAGTTCCTTGGGTTTCTGTTAGGCCCAATTACCCAGCTTAATAGGCCAGGCATGGGTCCCAGGAGCATCACTTCTGCCAGGTTATGCCCCAGGCCACCTCATGTCTGTTTGCTTGTTGGAAAACTGTGTTGTGGGTCACATTTCCCTCAGGTCTCTAAGCTTAGAGCTGTCTGAGAAAAGGAAACTTGCTTCTGTTTACCTTGTAAGGAACTGACTCATGAGAATTCTCTTATGGAGGCTTGACTGGGATCCTAGTGTGAGAGAGGTAGCCTTGGAGGGCTGAGGGAGTTGGTCACATTGTGGTGAGGGAGGTGGTCTTCTGGGCACTTCTAGAATATCTCCATTTGGGACTCCTTATGGTGATGACCTTAGGGTCTTTGGTACGCAGGACCCTACCTCAGGTAGGGAGGCAAGTCAGTACACAGGTGCCATCTATTCCCACCTCTGCAGACCATAGCCAAGTTCTGGACAAGGGGCGGGTAATTTCCTCCCTTCTTTCTGTGTTCCCCTCTGCCCACTCCGGGTTGCTACTGCTGCTGTTTCCTGGGCAGCCCTTTTGATTCGTCCTGCTGCAGGGTTTCTACCATTGCTAGCCAGGGAAGGGGATGGTGCTGATTTATACCTGGAAACAGGTGCTGAGATAGGAGGTGAGGATGGTGGGATGAAGAAAGGAGGTAGAAAGGAGGCCTTAAATACAGTTTTGTGTCCTTAGGAGGGGAATGTTGATGTTGGTCCTCTGTCTTGCCTGTGGGAGCTGTAAATGTTTGGCCACATGCTCTAATCTCCTCTCTCCTCTCTCTGGTGGGGTAAAGGGCTCTGGTAGTTTGACAGCAGAACGGATAGCATTCCAAGGGTTAGCCTGAGTGGCTGCCAAATGGATAAAATGTCCAGATGGGTCATTTCGTGTCACCAAAATGGAGCCATGTAGTCTGAGCAAAGGTTGTCCCTGGTCTGCTATTTTCTTCTTCCTCCCTCTTTCTACATTGTCAGTCTTCCCTGTCTAGGGTTTGGAGAGATCCAGGATTGGAAAATTAGAGGTGGGTGTATACAGTGTACTTCAGTCACTGCTGCCTATGCCATGCATAGGCCTTGTGCTCCTTTTATTCTTCATGGGAAGAGCTTAGAGTAGGTGTCTTCTGTCAGGTCCTCAGTGAGATAGAACCAGCAGGAGTTGTGGTGAGTGAGAATTCTAGGGCGCAGACTTCTTTTCCTCTCTAGTAGGAAGAGGGCCCTCATAGGAATGCTATAGAGAGATTGGAAGGATGGGCATTGATTTCTCTGTTCGGGGGATGGACACCTCTTGATGACCTGTCCTCCCAGGTACTGTCGGCACAGTGTTTTTGGGATGATGCGTAGGACAGCCTAGTGTTAATCTCAACCAGGCAATGAGAAACCACTAGAGCTGAATCCAGTGCTGGAGGTGTGGCTCAAGTGGTAGAACACCTGCCTTGCTGTTGTTATTGTTTTGTTGTTATTGTTTTTGATTTTATGGTGGTACTGGAGTTTGAACTCAGGGCTTCATGCTAGCTAGGCAGGTGCTCTACCACTTGAGCCACACCTCCAGCCTGGAGCACCTGCCTTGTAAATGTGAAACCCTGAGTTCAAACCCGGTACCGCCAAAAAAAAAAAAAAAAAAAAAAAAAAAAAAACCCCAAAATAAAGCAAAAAACAAAACAAAGCTAGAGCTTAGTCCACATGGATTTTCTCCAGCCTCCATGCCTGAGAATCAAAATCTGAATTGCGTGGAGTTCTCAGGGAACTCTCAGGCTGCCTCTGTGGGATTCAGGGTTGTGAGGGGGCAGGGAAAGTGGTGTGACCTGTCTCACCTGTGCTGCTTGTTTGCAGAGCAGTAGTGGAGAGGGGTGGCAGGATGAATGTGGGCACAGCACACAGCGAGGTGAACCCCAACACACGGGTTATGAACAGCCGCGGCATCTGGCTCTCCTATGTGCTGGCCATTGGACTTCTCCATGTTGTGCTGCTGAGCATCCCCTTCGTGAGTGTCCCTGTCGTCTGGACCCTTACCAACCTCATCCACAACATGGTGAGAATCTGCCTGCTCCCTGCCTCTGACCATATGGGCTGCTTTTTTGCGGGGGCTCAGGGATAGGAGGAGACTGCCAGACGTGGGCCAGATAGCAGGATGACGTCCTGACAACATCTGTCACCAGAGCCTAGGCCCAGCTCTTATCTCTCTGCCCCACTCCCCCTTTGGTGCACATTTATAAGAAGAATCAAATCTGCATATTTGTCTATGTCTCCAGGATGGGGTGGCTGTTAGATTTGGAGGATGGCCACCTGAGATCTGAACCCTCACTCCAGAGTATTCCCTGGAAAATTTGGTGTCTAGCCTGCTGCAGAAAGGCTCCTTTTCCAAGTTAGGATCTCACACCAACCTCCACTCTTGCCCCCTCTACTCCTTTCCTCCCTGAACCTTGTACTCTGTTGTTGGGCAGGCAGGGGTCTAATCGTTGTCCCTGCTGGCTGGCAAGAGGCTGGCTGGAGATGCCAACTGGGCTGGAAGGGCAGTATGTCTGTGCCCATTTTGCTGCTAACTCCTCCTCCTATCTGATCTCATGCCAGGCCTTCTGCTCCTTTGGGTCCTCTTGTTTTTCTCCTGCCAGGCTCCTGGCTGCTCCATCATGCCCACTCACCCATAACCCCCTGCCTAGCAGAGGAAAGCTACAGACTACCTAAAAGCGACTTCTGTCTGTGATGGGGAGGAACTGAGCTGGGGCCCCCTTTGCCTTTCATATCCTCTGATGGAGGCCCTTTCTTCCAGGGCATGTACATCTTTTTGCACACGGTCAAAGGCACACCCTTCGAGACACCGGACCAGGGCAAGGCGAGATTGCTAACCCACTGGGAGCAGATGGACTATGGGGTCCAGTTCACAGCCTCTCGGAAGTTCTTGACCATCACACCCATTGTGCTGTGAGTACCTTGACTGAGAAGGACATTAGCAGGCAGGGCAAGGCTGGGGAGTCTGGGTCCAGCTAGGCTTAGCTTCCCTTTCCCCGTCAGTTCTGGCCCTTGGCATAGGGATGAGCAGAGGAAGGGAAGTTGACATATTCTTGGGTCTTATACTGAGCTCAGGCTTTGGGCCTTGTTGTCCCTTTCTTTCCTCAACTGGAGCTTCCTCCCTGTGAGTGAGATCACAGGCCCACAGGCCTCGGGTGAAGTGGGCAGGGTTGGGAGGGACCTTGTTAGGGACAGCCTGCTGTTCACCATTGGTCTGGGGACTCCTCCCATACCTTCTCAGCTGTCAGGATCCTGTAGGAGGAAGGTGCCTCCCTACCCCCCCGCCAGTCTTTAATCGCTTCCTTGTCCGCCCAGGTACTTCCTTACCAGCTTCTATACCAAGTACGACCAGATCCATTTCATCCTCAATACTGTGTCCTTGATGAGTGTGCTCATCCCGAAGTTGCCCCAGCTTCATGGGGTCCGAATTTTTGGAATCAATAAGTACTGAACGTGCAGCTCCTTCCCCGGCCCTGGGAGGGATGGAAGGAAAGCCTTTGCTGTGATGCTGAAGACAGGAGCCTCTGGACACTGCCAGAGATGGGGTTGTGCCCTGGGCCTGGCTCCCTCCTCGCTTCCCCAGTAGACAACTTGGAGTAGCTTGTAGTGGGGTTGGGGTGGGCCACTGGGCTCTAACCCATTCTGATTTTTTTGACCTTTTCCTTTTGCCTTTTGAATAGAGACTTCATGGGGTGGTTGTGGAAGGGGCCAGGATTCCAAGCTGAACATGGATTTGTGAGGTTGGGATAGGAAGCCTGGAAAAACTGCTCTCTTGTTTACCCTCAGGTGGCCGAAGCACTTTAACCCCTGCAAAGGGAGCTGAGGGATGGTACAGCTTCTGGATTGTTTCCTTTCAGTTTTCAGTCTATAAGGTGAAAGTGTGTTTTGATGTAAGAAAGTGAGTGTGTGATGACACCTCATCCTTCTGGGTAGAGAGCTTTCTGGTTCAAGGCACAGGCTTTTGGTGGCTCCTTGGGTATGGATTGGGAGTGACGGGGGTTAAGGAGAGGGAAGGTGGAGCCAGTGGGCATGGCCTGATTTCAGAAGTGTGGGGCCAGGTACTCCTGTCCCAGTTCTAGTGGAGGTTGGACATAGTGAGTTGAGTCTTACAAGCTGCATAGCTGCAGCCAATGAAGATTGCTGTAAAAAAGATGGTTGCAGGGGAACAGAAGTTAGAACCTAACCTCCTTTGGTATGTGAGTAGGGAGGGGAGCCAGCTTGGAAGATGAATTCAACTGCAGAATGGTGATGGTGAGAGGGAAGGGAGGCTGCTATGGGTTTGAAGCTCCTGGGTTATGTGACGGGGGTGGACATGGATAGAAGAGGCCATGAGTCATTGTAAGCACAGGTCTGATTTGACACTATCCTCTGCAGTGGTGTGAAGGGTGCTGGTGTGGGGAAACTGACAGAAATGGAAGAAGGTAGGACCTACTGCAGCCTCTCATCTTGTAACCTTGTGCATACTGGCTCTGGGGCCATGCACATGAGGAGTTGTGAGGCTACCTCCACATGAGGTTGGTGGCTGCAGAGTCTTCAAGGACTTCTGCCCAAGTGGGTCAGAGGGAGGAGCAAGGAGTGACTGTAGGTGCTGTCTCCTCAGCTCTAGGAGAGGTAGGGCCAGGAACCTGAGAAGAAGCTGGAGAGGAGCCTCCTTTTCCTTTCCCCAGTCCCCCTGGGAACATGTTCCTTTGAAAAGGTATGGCTTAAGTCCTCACCATGGGCCTGAGGGTTGAGGGAGGTCACTTGCCCTGTTTTTTGCCTCCTGGCCTTCCACCTCTACCCCATGTATCATAGGGAACTTTCACTTCACAATCTTTCTAAGCAAAGTGTGAATAGGATTTTTACTCCCTTTGTACAGTATTCTAAGAAATGCAAATAAAGGACAATGTGTTCTTATTTTTCCTGTGTCTTGCCTCTGTTTCTTGGAGGACTCTGGGGGAAGGGGGAGTGGTGTAGGCAGTGGTGAGGGCTCTGGGACCGCTGGTCTTTTTATTGTATTTCTTTTTTGGTGCACTGCTCCTGGAGGTACTGCAACACCAGGTCTATGTGTGGAGTGGATGGAGCAAGCTCCTATTCTACCACTCTGTTCCAAAAATCCACTTAATATATTGTCCTCAGATAGAGGATGGATCAGATATTAAACCAATAAAAACAGATACTATACTTGATCTTAGCCAAAAGACTGAGAAGTGATGTGTTGTTGGTTTTTTTAGTGACCCAGCAGAGAAAACCCAAGAGGGCTTGAAGTTGCTGGCAGAGGCCTCAGCAAATCAGCAGAACTGCTCTCTATGCCTTTTGCCTGGCTGCTCTTTTGATAGGCCTTGTGCCTCTGGCTTCACAGGTGGGGGTTGCAAGGGGGTAGAACTTGGTGGCAAGGGAGGGGGGTTAGTCTAGCCTTGGTTTTACAAATAGAGCTGTGGTCTGAGGGGTTCCCAGTCCTTCCCTCTGAAACTCCCTGTCCCTTCTCATTTCTCACATCTCTCAAGGTCTTTGCCGTTTGCTCTTGTTCTATGAGGGCTGACTTTCTTCCTGACCTTTCTGTCTGAAGGATTTTCATCCTTCCTTTTCCTATCATGAGCATGAGTGGGAGCGAAAGAGGTATCCTCAGGACCATTTAAAGCTCACAAAGCCAGGAAAGGGAGAAGTTACTGTAGTGGAGGAATCCTCATCTGAGGCCTTTCAGGGTGTTCTGTGCAGTATTATCTGCCACTCTTGGGATAGGTACAAAGTCCTAGGCCAGTGGGAGCAGCAGCCTGGCTCTTCTCTGGCCCTGGTCCCATATCAAAACATCCTTGAAGTGGGGGTCAGGAAGAATGTGGGATCTTTGTCCAAGTCCAGCCATTGCTCCCCTCCCCAAGTGGGGCCTACAGGCCTTTGGAAAGAGAAATGTGCAATCCCTGGGCTGAGTCCTGGGAGTGGGACTGTTCTGGTTGCTTCCATGGAAGAGCCTGCATGTGTAGTCAGGGTGAGGTGCTGGGACACATCAGCAATAACCTTTATTCAAATCCCAACTCCGCCACTTACTGGCTGTGTGGTTTTATCAAGTTACTTCTCAGAGCTTCAGTTTCTTCCTCTGTTGTATAAGAATAATACCTCTTATGGCTGTGTGAGCATCAGCACAGTGCCTGGCATGTAGTCAACACTTAATATATGGTAGCAATATTGTAATTGTTACCATCACCATTTCTTCTCTGTGCTTTCAGAACTGAGGGATGCAGAGGCCAGAAGACAGGCAAGCTCACCCAGGTGGTTATCTCTGAGAGAGGACAGAGAGGTGGGACCAGAGCTGGGTGAAGAGGTAAAGAGAGTAGGTGGCATCCAGATAAGGAGGGTCTGTATTTCTCTGAGAGAGCTACATGGGAGTATTTGGTGGGTAGCGAAGCTGAGTCCTTTTTGGCCCACCTATTCTCTAATAGGTGTTAGCTGCAGTTCTGGGTCTTCTTTGCTGCCCACCACAGTGTATGACATTTGAGTAGCTGGTTCATATTCATATGTGCTGGTTCATATTCATATGTGCATACATTGTTTGGGTCATCTCTCCCTCCTGCCTTGCTTCCAGGCAGTACCTGTTCTGACCTCTTCAATTTTGTTGAAGAGAAGACATAAGTAATAATAAGAAAGACAGCATTTTTGCTAGTTGAGATAAGGATAGCTATACAGAGAGATTCCTAGCATTGCTTCCATGCACAAGTGTATTACAATTCAAATTGATCATCTCTACCAGACCTCTTCACTATTTCCCGGTCACCTTCCCATATTGACCTCTGTTCGTTTTAAGGTTAACTATATTAGATCCTCTGCAGTGGGCTCATGAAACACTTTCAAGTTTTGGGTTTCCTACCTTTCCCTATTCCTCCTGTATGTGTCCTTCCCTTAGCATGTGACCCATGATTAATAATATTACTGAATTTGTTTTAGATCTAAAGTTTGCATATGAGGGAGAACATACTATTTTTGGCTTTCTGAGCCTGGCTAACTTCACTTAAGATGATGTTCTCCAGTTCCATCCATTTACTAGCAAATGATAAGATTTCATTCTTCCTCATGCCTGAGTAAAATTCCATTGTGTATAAATACATTTTCTTAATCCATTCATCAGTAGTGAGGCATCTTGGCTGTTTCTATAACTTGGCTATTGTGAATAGCACTGCAATAAACATGGGTGTGCAGGTGCCTATGGAATAACCTGAGTTGCATTGCTTTGGGCATATCCCCAGGAGTGGTATTGCTGGATCATATGGCAGATCTATGTTTAGTTTTTTAAGAAGCCTCCATATTGTTTTCCAGGGTGGTTGTACTAGCTTGCATTCCCACCAGCAGCGTATGAGGGTTCCTTTTACCCCACATCCTCGCCAACATTTGTTGTTGGTGGTGTTTTTGATGATAGCTATTCTAACATGGGTGAGGTGGAATCTTAGTGTGGTTTTGATTTGCATATCCTTTATGGCCAGAGATGGTGAGCATTTTTTTCATGTTGACCATTTGAATTTCTTCTTTTGAAAAAGTTCTGTTTAGTTCAGTTGCCCATTTCTTTATTGGTTCATTGATTTTGGGGGCGTTTAGTTTTTTGAACTCCCTGTATGGTTATCAGTCCTTTGTCTGATGTACAGCTAGCAAATATTTTCTCCCACTCTGTGGGTGGTCTTTTCAGTTTAAAGACCATTTCTTTTATTGTGCAGAAGCTTTTTAACTTCATGTAGTCCCATTTGTCCATTGAGTAGCCGGTTCTAAGGTCACTCATTCCTGGCATAATGATGACCATTGCTTCCTGGCACATGGTTGGTACCCACCCTTATTCCATTTTCCTATTCCAATTTACTGAATTACAGGCCCAGAGCACCTCATTCTTCAACATTCTCTGACCTAAACTCACCTAGGCTATATATCACTTCCCACCTATTCCTTGGGTCCAAAAGGAAGGAAGAGGTTAGGACTTAACTATCTCCACCCCAGTCATAATGTGGTTTATCTAAAGATCCGAGGGGTGGGACACCTAATCCTACCCAGCCTTCAATAAGTGCTCCACCTGGAGAACTTTCAGATACTTGATGATAACTTGCTGAGACGCAGAGGCCAGGAACTGTGCAGAGATCTGACAGAAGGAACTCTGAAAATTTCCATTTCTGAGCAGCTGAGGACAGAGAGAAGGTAGGTGGCTTTTTTGATGGGTGTATGGTCCTGAGCACTGTCTTTCCAGACATTTGGAATTCTCAGACTAGGAGAGAGTTGAGAGTTGATCATTTGTGATGAGGGCAGGGGCAGAGAAAAGAGCAGTGGGCAGGTTAGGTACCTGAACCAGGCAGAAAGAACTTAGGGGAAGGTAGCAAGAGGTAGGATGGTGAAGTGGAGCTCAGGAAGCTTTTGTCTCACTTGGGAATGGTTGGTAGGGAGGCATTCATTCAACTGCCTCATAGAATACAGTCCTGGACAGACCCAGGGATTAGAGCCAAGGGGAGAAATAGCCAAGTGTGGCTGATAATGTGAGGCCTGGCAGCCATGCTCCCCATCCCTTCCTGGTTCTCTGTTCAGCATTGGTGAGAGTCTGGCTGGGGGATGATGGGTCTACCTTCCCAGCCCTCACACTCCTCAGAACTAGGGGAAACTCTCCTTTGGGACTTGCAGAAAGTGGGTCTCATTTTCTCTTTCTGGGGCATTCTCTGCTCCATCTTTCCTCCAAATGGGTTCTGTGAGGGGCAGAGGAGAATCTATGATGTTCATTGGCTGCCTCACTTTCAATAAACAGGGAAGGTGAGCCATTCCCAATTTTGGTTGTCCTGGAAACTTTGGCTCTTCCTTGACCCCAGACTGCCAAAGGTAGAAGATTTAAAGACCTGATACAATACCCTCCTCCCCTAAACTAAAATTAGCTTCTTTATCCTGGCTGATCTAGGCACAATGTATTGCAGCATATTTAAGGGAGTCACGAGAACTCTGGTCTAAGAGATGGATGTTGAAGGGGATTGGTTGCTGTCAGAAACATACTCGATGCTGGCAGATGCTGCTGCTTCATTTTGCTGACAGGAAGGTGGTGGATCTGGGGATGGTGATACTACAGGACAGACCTCACCCTGAAGGATATACTGGAGAGAGAGGAGGTTCAAGGAGGCTTTTGATTTAGATATTGGGTTCCCAGGTTAGGTGGATGAGAGAAGGCCATTGAGGAGGCCTTGTCTGCTTCTACTCCATTTCATTCTCAATTCCCCCTTGCCATCAACCAGGCCAACCAGTGTTTTATACATACATGTCTGCACACTTCCATTTAAGAAATGCACAGAAGAGCTGTGGGGGAGAGGGAAAAGCCATTTCTATCTACACAGGTCTTCCTTTCCCATCTTTTCCCTTTATAGTTTCTTTTAAATTAGCTCTCCTCATATGTATATGTTTGTCATTTAAATGAACGAGTGGGCAGTTGGCTTAATGGCTAATGAAAGATGTAGACTTTAGAACTAGAACCACCTGATTTTGAAGTCTGCTCTGCTACTGACCAGCAGGGTGACCTGTGGACAAGTTGTTTCATCTTTCTAAGTTTCAGTTTCCACATGTGTGAACTCTAGAAGGCTGTTGTAAGATTCAAATGAGTATAAATGACATAAACCATTTATCACAGTGCCTGGCACAGAAGGAGCATCAGTAGATGTTAGTTCCAATTATTCTGGTGGTCATGATGACTGCTATTGTCCTTTCATGTTCCCTGGTGACCAGGACTGAAAGAGAAGTTGGTCCTTGGTTGAAACCCCTAAGGGATTGAAGGGATTTATAGAAGTCAATTATTCCATCCCCCTGCCTCAGAGCCCAGTTATTCCTGGGTTTCTTAGGTTTCTGAACCCCAGGGTTAAAGTGATGAACCTTCACTTAGAGACCCTGTTCAGTGTCTTGCC